GAGGGGAAAGAACTGAAGCTGGCAAGCTGAAGCAAAGAACATTGATTAATGAACAAAAAACATTTTTGAAAGGTCGGGTGCGCAAGTCAGACTAGCCCCGAGGCAGATCTAACTTACATGACCAGCACTTTCTGTACGCAGCAGGTAACCCATGCTGACACCAACTTTGCCGACATGACAGGGTTATTATTTTTGGAAGGATGTAGTGTTCTGGAACAATTTCTCTAATATATTAGTTAAAACTAAGCTTTCGTTCAATATCAAGCATGCACGTCTTCCCTTTCACCATGTTTACATTGAATTCCTACTATTATTGTAGCCAATGAAAACAAAAGATTATTCTTCATGTGTGAGCACTTGTATTTCCACTGTGTAATACAACCCAGAGCAGCAGTGCTGTATATACAATTGTGTTCTAAACCCAGATGCCCATCTGAAGTTCAATATTAAGATCTCAATACTTTTACTGAATTTTGTAGTAGAGGTTTATTACCTAAAGCTTTAAATTGGCCTCCTCTCAGCACAGATCCTCAGCACAGAGGGTTTCTTCTGAACAATAACTTAGGAGTAGGCAGCAATACCAAAAAGGAAAGAGTACATCATCTATGTCTTTAGAACAAGCTGATGGAGGAGGTTCTCTAAAATTCTGGCATTAAGCTTTTCTTGTCCATTACACAGGAATCAAGACAGGGAATCAATAAAGGAATCATGTCATCCAGCTTCTCCTGATCTTATATTTTAATTGGATTTCCACAAGACCTGCAGTCTCGTTAACTAGATTAAAACTGAAGTACAGTAAAGACACTAATTAAGTGTCTTCTGTGAGATTTGAAAAGAAAGTACTAGCAAACTCCAGGAAAGTACTAAAACTCCCAAACACTTACCTCAGGCTCTTGGAGGAAGTATAGTAACCACAACTAAGCAGTTATCAAGGTATATGTACCACTTGGTAGAGAAACCCTAAAATAAAAGTTTGTTGACTTTGCACTTTGCTAAATTCATATGTGGAGCTCCCATGCATTGAAGGTGCAGTTAGAAGATAGGTCAATGTTCATTTTTAATAGCTGTTGCTTAATGCTGAGAACAAGGTCACGTAGTTTCGAGGGGAGGACATTCCCCAGGTGGAAGCACCAGCAATGGTCAAGACAAACCAAAAACAAGAGGCAGAGCTTCCAGAGCCACTCAGCCACCTCAGCCAGAGTTTTCTCCCTTCAGTAAAGCCTAACATGAAAGTACTTTTTCTGCCCTCATGGCAATGAGCAGGATATACACATCCCATTAGGGAGGAATCTCAATGAAGCATCAGTGACTTCTAATAAGAAAGAACAACTCTTCAAACCAACCCAACTGGAGGGACGGCTAAAGGTTAGTCCCTTCCAGACAGAGGGGCCTGGAAAAAGGGGCAAAATCCTTTCCCTCTCTGTGCAGAGGACAGAGAAGTCTGCATGAGACACACTGTGAGGTTCTTCACCTCGGCAGCAGCAGGAAATTTGTGGTGCTCAAAATCTGTGCCTTTTCTACAGCATTAAATTGACTGAATATTCCCTAGTAAGAGGAACAGCTGGCCCATGTTGTAGTAGACTAGAAGCTGTATTATTTAACAGTCCCTATGCTTTCAATATAAAGTCTGTCTTTCTAAGTTTTCTAAGACTCTTCATCTACTAAGATAGTTTCACTCATAGGGAAGCTTAAACATCAAATCCCTCTTCTAGCAACTCACAGCCCAACACAAGACAAAGATGATTAAAAACAAAGTTTTTAACAGATACTTCTTCAGATCCAGCATGGGTGTATAGGGATTTACAGGGGGCAGGACAAAAATATACAGGCTTAACCCCTGCCCTAAACACTTACCCCTAGTAGCTACCATCTCCTAGCTCAGAACTACAGCTGCACAAAACTGAAGTTTTCTGTGACAGATATACATGTTTGCTTTAACACCATATGAGAGTCATATTCACAATTATTTTCCTCGCTGTATATGTGATCCTTTACATATCAACAGCAGCTTTTACAGGAAAACTGTTCATTATCTATTATAGATAATAAAAAATAAGAAACAGAAAATGTGATTTAGCAGCAGCATGTATATCGCAAACCCAATAACTGAAATGATCTGTTCAAATGTAACTCAAAGCATCAACACCATAAGTACAAATTGCTTTATTTGGAAACACTTTGGCATCGAGAGTGTCTTTTTGTTCAAAATCTGTGCAACAGTTATCACAATAGCAAGGGTGGTGGAGCAAATTCACTACTCAAGGTCATAGTGCAAAATAAGTAATGAGTGAAAACAGAAAAAATGCCCTCCCTATTCTACCTCCCTATTATATCTCATAACAAAAAATATCAGTTAGAGAAATCATAGTCATTTTCCAAGCCATAAGGAAGAATACATGTGCCAGAGAGTTTATCTGATCCCAATGTTTCAACCGGCACTAGGCATTAGCTACAACAGTGAGCAACTGATGCGCAGCAATCCTGCCACGCACAGCATGCTTAGGCAAGAAAATATGTGTGCCTCAGTCGCAAAAGACAGAATAGAGCCTCAAGTGTTTGGGCTCCTTCCAAAATAATCCAAATGCTGCTTTTTTGGCAAATGGGGGGGTCAATGGAGCTAAAAATTCACAGAAGGATTTGAGCATTCATGTGTTTATATACACCCACTCGTTCATTTATTATTCTAAAGCTACTTTACCGAAATCAAATTACATAGCTGACAAGCTGCATAGATAAGAGAGAATAAAAGTAAAATTTAAAATTAGCTGACAACACTACATGATGTAGTGTATATTTGGCACTTTTAGAGTGAGCGATGAGGGTTAACCTAGGGGAAAAAAAATTGCACCTTCCTAAATTGCACCTTAAATTATTAAATAAATTATGAACATGATGGAATGCATTAAATATATAAGCCTGAAGGAGAAAGAGCGGATGTGTTTTAACTTTCAAAGCAAAGACAGCATATTTAAGCAGTGTTGCTTACTGTTTGGATACTTTGTCCAAAGCAGATTTCGGTGTTGTAGAAGTTTCCATCGTGACTAACAGGCAGCGTTGTTCTGGCCCAAGGCTGTTCCTTCACTCTGGGCCATTGCAGTAAGCCACCACCTAAGTGGCTAAGAACAGAAACTTTGAGGAAATAGTGGCCTTTGGGCACCTTATCTTTGACTCCCCTCAGGCATTTGACATGAATTTCTACTGCCTGTGGTGTCCCGAACTCGTCAACCTAGGGAGAAGGCTCCAAGTTACCGACTTGAATTGAGTTGACTGCAACCATACAATTAATCAGAACAAATTTCATAACAAAACAACTACCAAAAAGCAGAAATCATGCTTCTTATTCAACCTGCAATTACCTATTGTTAGCTGAGGATCTGCAATCAGAGAGGTCGAAAGTCACAGAGATGACAGATCATAATAACAACAATAATAATAAATGCTTAGCATTCTTGGCAGGAGGGTGGAGTTGTTGAAATGTGAAACCAGAAACCATTTGTCTGCAATAATAAGGCAGAATTCGAAGGAAAACACCACCTTCAAAAATGTAGTTTGCATGCTTTGCAAGACAGGCGCAAGAGGCGATATGATGAGCAGGCTGCAGGCACATAATGAGACAGGGCAGACCATGTTTTTATACTAATTATTAGTCTTGCCAAGGCTATTAGCACTGTGTAATATGCAGGCTATCCTTTCACTTTCTGATTATCATATAATCAGATTCTCTTAAAAATAGTAATCAAAGTGCAACATGTGTAGAGTTTAACAACAACTCCCTACAGGCACCTTTATTCCAAGTCCAGACAAAAGGAAACATCTGCTGCTTGCTGTTGACAAGATGTTGTCTGAGTTACAAAATGTTTAGCATGGAATAAATGTTGTGCTGTGTATCTGAAATGCTGTTTTGGTGCTTTTCTTCTATGTTGAACTTATAGTGTAAAAGTTGGCAGAGGGGAACCGACACAGCTGTAGGATACCTAGAAGTCTTGCCTGAGTAAAGACATAGAATCCATTTGAATATGCCTGCAAATACCTGAGTGTTACCCAAATACATTCTTCAGGGTCAGGACTCCAAATTTGGCTCCAGCATTGACTTAAAAGGATAAAACAACTTCTGCAACAACTAAATATTGAGAGCTTCAAATCAGTTACGATATTTTCCCCCAAAGGAATCAATTTCTTCCATTTTTTTCACAAAACACTATTGCATGCCACACTTCAGAATCAAATGGCTACCTTGACTACTAGTAGTCTCACAGTTTAAGCCTACAGTAGCTTATAATCTCTTCTTTAATCCTGTCTTGGATTTATTTTGGAAGAGATAGCGTATTTCCATATAGATAGAAAGCTTCTGGAATTAAATTAAGCAGTTAAAGTAACAGTTGAATATGTGAAACTTCTTTTGTTTTTGAACACAAACCATACTTAACAACTAATCTGAATGACAATTATTTTCAGCTTAATTAGAAAATCTTAATTAACAATGAATATTTAACCTTAATATTTTTAGTTTCTGAATCATATATAAAAAAATTAACATTATGTGAATAAATAAGACAATCTTTTTAAACCTCAAGGCAGGATTACTGATGCAGGCAGACTTCGTTATTAAACACATTCTAAATTAAACGCCTCTATGAATTTTATACTGAAATATATTGTGATAGTTTTGCATGCCAAATGTGACATTTTGTATTTTAGATTCATCTTCTGTAGTAATTTTGGAAATGTCATACAAACAAAGATTTTGTCATTTACCAATGGAATTACTATGCATGGCCGGTTAGCCATCTCTTTTCTGGCTCTTCTGGTTGTTTCAAGTCAGCAAGCCATAAAAAATCTTTATCTCTCTGAAACACAGCAATTTGGAAGATAATCGAATAGTGACTGGGGGGCAGAAACGCCAGTCTGAGGAATTATACCACAATCTCTCTTGCATTTACAACCTTCCTCAAAGCGAGTGTCAGTCGAGTAGGAAAAGGAGATAGAAGATTCATCATATTTCAAGCCTGTCTCATTTGCATGGTGGCATAGCCTGTCTCATCTCCTACTGAAAGACTTTGCTTGGCCAGCACTGACAACTGTTTTGAAGAACTCTGGTCATGCCCAGATGATTCATCATTAATAGTTTTAGACATTCTCTTTAAGCATATGGTTATTGCTACTTGAAAGGATATTTTCAAACCTCTAAATTGTATCCTCTTAAACTATGAAAAGAAAAAAAAGAAATAGTAGTGCAAAAGATTTGATCTGGTCATTTAGCAGCTTGTATCAAGGCAAAGAGCACTCATGGGGAACCTTACCTTCCCACAACATCCTGCTGCTCCATTTAATTCATTATTCACATCTGCAAAGTTACCAAACTTGGCCATAATTTCTTCTTTGCAGCCTCTCACATCTGCTTTCAGTGGCTGACTTTCTACTCTGCAGTAGTTACAAAGGGAACAGGGAAGAAGAAATGAAAAGAAACAGACTACAACACAGACACGAAAAGCACTTGCTGTTGGAACTACATCACAGTTTGATGTTTTCCTTGAATATACCATAAACCTTGCAGGGGACCCAGGAGAAACAACAATGTTCTAAGCAGAGAAATGGCTAGGCTTCAAAAAGTGGCATAGGAAAAATGTAGTCACAATTTCAAGAACATGACTGCTATTTGTCAGTCTGTGCACAGGCTGACATAAAATAACCTAAAATTTCATTGCCTAAGAATAAGGAACTCTGTCTTTACAGGACAGGTATCAGGACTTGGGTTCTAGAATAACAATAAAAAAGTAGGAAGCCATTGCCCTGTCCACACTTACGGGACAGGACTTTCAGCTGTGATGAACTGGAACAGATTTTTAGAAATCATTGGCTCCTAGAGTTGCTCTAAACTACTGAAAAAATGTTATGTCTGTATATTCAAATATATACACCCATACTTGCACACACACATTTTTTTTCAGCTATATGGAAACCATTAAACCTTCCTTACCATTCACATGCTAACTTTTTGTACAGTTTAAAGGATATTTTGGTAATTATATCAGCTTGTTGTTTGTTTGTTTGTATGTTTAAACAGGGGTCCCTGAACCAAAACCAAACTTAGCAAATGGGTTAAGAACAGACCTGCAGAGGATGCTGTCCTATTGGGAGGATGTAGCAGAGGCATTGCATCTTGTGGGAAAAAAAAATACTTCCTCCTATTGCACAGCAAATACAAAACTAAGTCATTAACAATAAGCACTATATGAAAGGTACGCTTTGACAATCGGATCCCACTCTTAAAATTTTATCTATTGATTTAAAATAAATTAATGAATTTAAAACTTTATTTCAGTAAATAGAAATGTATTTATTTCAGTCATATTAACACTGGTGCATACTTAAACCAGTTTCTAAATTCCTATACTTGTAGAATTTAATCATATAAAGGTAGAGGCAATAATTAAATCAATTAAAAGTTCTGTGTAGTCATTAGTCCTAGGGACACAAATGGAATATTTGTTCAGATGAGGACTGCTCAGAACTATGGACAGGATTCAGTAATGCTATGGATTCAATACAAGGACTGCGGCATCTACCCTTAGTGTTTTATGCTTGAGCTGAGTCAAGCCAACTTTGGTTGAGCTTCCCTAACTTGAAGGATAAAAAAGAAACTTCTTGAATGTCGTTAATTCTGAGAGCTGAAACATCTGAGAAGTTAACTTTTCTCCTCAAGAAGAATGGTCTGTTTGGAACCTTGTACTTATTTAGTTTTTCTTGATGGAAATTATTTCACTTAATTTGGTTAGAGCTACATTGACACAGGGGTTCATTAGGACACCCATTTGCTTGCAATTCAATTTAAAATTAAATACACTTTGTTGTTGATTTTATTACTTTTAAACTACTGTATCTATTGCCTTTATTAGCTGCTAATACACAATTATGAAGGTAAACAGTTTTCATTACTGAACATCAAACATTTAAATAACCACATTTGATCTCTTTTCGGGTTTCACTATTTTTCTTTCCTCTCCTTTTGTTGGATATAAGACTGGAGCAAATAATTTACTTAGTGAAGTTAGGTCTCTTCTGTGCTCATAAGCATGCTCATCATCTGTTAAAGAAGAACAGAGCCTCCTCTGCAGTGTCTGTGAGAGATGGGCCCACCATTAATTTCTCTACAGGTAATTTGATGCACATATTTATCTGAAGGTCATGAATAGGCTGAACCACAGAAACATTGCTCTAATTCATACTGCGTTCACTAAGAGTAATTCAGGACCAGGCATGAAGGGTGCTGAGAGAAGCCATTGGGTCAGCTTTTGAAGCGTACTGTGTGTAGCACTTAAAAATGACAGCCAAACTGGCTGTATCTAAAAATGGAAGAATCAAAACAGAGGCCTCTTTCAAAAGCACAGGCTTAATTTTTCTAGGACTGAGGTCCTTTGCTTGGGAGAAGCTCCATTCATTAATATCTGTAAAGCACTGAAAGATCTCTGCAAGGAAAGCCCATTAGACAGAAGTACAAAATAGCCCTCATCTCACATACCTTTGAAAGAGCTTATGAATCCTTGATTGCAGCTTCTGTTTATTGTGGCAAGACACTTCCTTGCTGTTCTTAGAGTCCTGCATGCCGCAAAACAAAAAACAACAACAACAACAACAACAACAAAACCAACAGTTTGTTTTCAAAGATACAAATAGGCTGTAAAAAGTAACAAATAGGCAGTTCTCAAGAGCTTGGTTTAGGTCTTTTGATTGGACTTTTTCATAAGCAATTATTAATTATAGCCAACCAGTCTCTCTTGTTTTCAAGGGAGGCTTCTCTAATCTCGTTAAAAAGCTTGATCTATATATTATGTATTTGTGTACAGTGGTACCTCACAGTCTTTATGACTATGACAAACTCTAACACTGTTGCATATTCATGTGTGTGTATATATATGTGTGCGTGCATCTATATACACATACACTTGGATATATATAAACATACCTATACGTACACACTCATGTGTGTATATATATATATGCGCATATATACACCAGGCTGCACATACATACACCAGGCTGGGATATGCACACAGACCAGGCTGGGATATATAAAACATACAAGTTAGCCAGACGCCACTGGAAAGCCCACAACTTACCTTAAATCTGCTCCAAGTCTTGAGGCCTTTTGCCACCAGTCATCTTTAAGTGCTTGGTAGGAGAGAATGGCATTTTGGGATGCTGCAACACGTAGCAGGCTAACTTACTCAGCAGTCCTCTGCCCTAGCAGTTCTGCACATCCAGCACATAGCTGGAGAGCCTGAAATTACTTTGCTCTTGTACAACAAGCTGGAAAAGTCATTCCACCAAAAGCCAGCATCCATGCCTTTTTGGCCTGTGCTCTCAGTGCAAAACCTGAAAATAATAATGTTGCTGAAGGTTGTAGAATTAGGAAAACAACATTCTTCTCCTTGACCTCTGTTAAGAGATCTCATGAAATATTCAAGAGTATTTCTCATGCCCAGATCTTTTGCTAGCGTCCCCAACACCAGCATAAAATGTGCATCTACCACTGCCAATATACACGAAACCTTCCTACTCTGTAACCCAAACCATATTGCAAATGGTGTAAAATGATGTTCATCTTCTGCCCTCACCAAGTCTCAGAATCGACAAATGCTTTGGTAGAGAAACGATGTAATAGTCTGTAGAGGAGAACTTCCTGTTGGCAGCTCTAAATCTGGCTGTTGAAGTCTCTCCCTTCTTGTAAATCTCTAAACTTTTAGGTAAATGTCTGTCTGGCTTTAAGGGAGCTTAGGAATCTCTGGCGAAGAGTAACACATCAAATCAATTATTTGCAGAAAAAACTGCCATTGCCAAGATTAAAACTCTGAGAGTATAAAAGCTGACCACAAAAAGCATATTACAAAAGCTTTTGTTAGCAGTATTAGTTTTTAATTTAAACACCATAAACTTGAAACAGGCATACCATGGTTACCTTAAAATACAGTATAATTTGCTTTTTGTCCCAGCAGAGCACCTCAGATGGATACAGTAAGTCCTACAGGTCCCATTCAACATTGCACATAGACTAGTACAAAGGTTAAACAGGCTCAAACCAAGATCTTACTGCTCTTAGCCAAATACCAGCCCTGGTTTTCTTTCTTTTGAAGGCCCTTATGCCATTTCCCAAGTATGCAAGCGGGGAGCAGGGTGTCGTGAGGAAGGATGGGGGACTCCTATCTCAGCGGTGCTGCGGGGAGGTGCTCGCAGCACCATAGGGTGGCCCCATCAGGCAGCATGGGCTGGAAGCGTCCTTGATAGACATTTGAACCCCGTTCTCAGTGCTGCCTGTGACAGCAGTTCTTGTGAGGTAAGCACTTAAGCAAAGAAATATAAATATCTTGTAAAATATCAAGTAGCCATAAGATTATGACATCTTTCAGACTTTACTAGTCCAGGCTTACGCTGAGCCAGAAGTAGAGAGTTTAAGAAGAGAGATAGAGAGATTACATTACCAGATTCCCATAGTTATCCAATCCTCTTGTTTATCTTCCTAATCTTAATTAAATAATGAATATTCAGAAGAAAATATGAACCGGGGTTCCTTATATAAACTACACTGCGTTTTCCATCTCTCCGTATCTGAAGTAGTAATGGGAATATGAGTTAAAACTATTTTTTTCTGGATCTTAGTAAAGATATTTCTCACAGCGTGTCATGGTAATTTTTAAAAAGCTCTATCATCTACCTAATAAATTTGTTAAGTTTATTCAAATCTTATTGAGAAGGAAAAGTGCAATGAGTCATGGTTAATATTTCTTTACCTACACTAAGAAATAAAATATATCAAAAATTCAGTGCTTAGGGTCCTATTCAGAAAACCACTATGAGTCTGTAATACATCTTCTACATGATTAAAAAAGCAGGAAACTTGCTTTAAAATGAATTATTCACCACGTTGAATAAATTTCCATCTTTCCTATTTGCAAAACCCCAAAGTCAGTTATGTAAATTTTAACCTACACTAATTACCTCAGGGGTGTGCAAGCTAAAGGAAAGTAGATAAAGTAAAAAAAAAAAAAAAAAACACCCAGACATTTCCATCAGACGGAAGCAATTTAATAGAGGAAAAAAATGTGTAAGTTTTCAAAAACAGTGCAACCCATATAGTTTCTATTTTTTCTATGTGTGGGTTTTATTTGTTTGTTTGTTTTTTGTTTTTTTACAGCACCCTTAGAGATGTACTGGACTATACCCAAGGCCTTTTTCTCAATGCCATATAGCATCTCGCACATAGCTAAGTGTTCATTGCTCATTGTGACACCGGCATTGTCTGGACTGTGGAACAACGGGTTGTGGACAATGGGCATTCACAAGAATATGCGGGATAGCTGCAAACTGATACAGCATTGAGCACCCCCTCAGAAAAAATGACTAAAGGCAGGGAACCAGCGGGCATCCCTCAGAGCTTGCATAGGATGTCCTTGAGATGTCTGGTTGAAGACTGATTTGTTCAGTCACAGCACTGCTTTGTCCCCCTTCAGATACTAAGCGCTTGCTTTAGCTGTGTGCCAGCTTCTTCTTCTTCATGCCTCTTTCTCAGTCTCTTCATCTGTAAAATGGCTATCTTGAGGTCTAATTATATAAACGGCCTGTCTGCTGATCTCAGAGAACACGATCAAGACCAGTATTTGAAAAGATCTTTCAGGCTGGGCTCAGCCTACAGGCACACAATGGTAAGTACTGTTTCTACTGTGGGCAAAATCAAAAACCTGACTCAGGACTATTAATCAGTGCTGACTGAGAATTTTCACTAAAAAGTTACCTCACAAATGGTAGGGCTTGATTCCTGTAATAATTTTCAGTTTGAAAAAAATAATAAAATAAAATAAACAAAACCTGTCCAGACATATCTTTTCTGTTTAGGAGCAAGCCCACAAAATTCCACAAAGCTTTTAAGCTAAATGGAATTTGTTTGCTGTCATTTAACAATGTCCTAAGGGAAAGTATCTCCTCTCCACCTTCTTGGCAGTCCAACTAGCGGTACCACAATTTTGTGCCAGGATGTTCACCCTGTTGTGAGTCGAAACAGTCAGTTATGTCCTGTCCACCAGGAAAGCACATGGGAAATGCACCATGCACATACACATGGCCTTGTGAGAAGCGCTGTAGGGACCCACCTTGCTGTGCACCCTCCTCATCTGGTCCAGGTGCAGTGCAGAGGCACCTCCAGCCTGGAGTCCCCAGTGGGGTCCCCAGCAACATCCCACAACCAGCGAGAACCCCCTACAGAGAGGATGCCACTGCCTCCTGCCTCCTGCTTTCCTTGAGAAATCAACTCCGTAACTACATGGCCGTGCAAAGTGGTGTCTTTCCAGCCATAAGCAAGCATGCATGTAAAACCTCAGATTTCCATCTGCTCACCCCAAAACAGTTTACAGTGAGGAGGGTCCAGACCAGCCCAGTTTTACAAGCTGCCAGTGAGAAGTGACTTGCCTGAGCTCACTTAGTCGAGCTTTGGCAGGACGAGACACAGAGCCCACATCTCTAGCCCAGCACCACTCAGCTCCCTCTCCTGCACCAAGAATCACTCCCATGGCCTATTAAGGCATAGCTCACTATATAGCACAATACATGCAAAAAACTAATGAACCATTTCAGATGAAACAAAAAAGCAGTGAAAAGGAAAAAAAAAAACAACAACAGGGGGAGAAAAATCACTGTCCCTCTCCTCTCTCCATATCTCAGAGATGTATCTGTTAGAAGCATGGCTGCCCCACATCTCAAGTAATGTGAGACGCTGAAAGGTGTATTCCTTCCATGTGAACTAGAGGGACCATAGGGACGTTAGGCTTTAGGAGATAAGAGGGATAAGTGGCTGAATAATGCCTGTTGAACTGCTCCTTCTTCCCTTTGCATGTTGAAATTTTTGTGACCTTGTCTTGACAGTAACTACCAACCAAGGGGTAAATCTGTCTCAAAATCCTGGACACATGGTAATATTATTGTCAGTGCACTTTGCCAAAAATGTGCTACAAACGCTCTGGCATGTTTCTGAAGGGGAAGGAAAGAAAGCAACTCCCACCCGCTATGACTTTCCTTCCAAAGGAAAAAATTAAATCAATTTACTGTACTTGAGCATAAAATTACAAGCTTGGACAATTTAGCTGCTTGCAACAGCTGGAAAAAGAAAAAAAAATAAAGAAAAAATAAAAATCTCTTTTTATACTCTCTTTTAAAATTGATACTGAAGAACACAACATGAGATCTACTTTAGGCATTTTATAGTCTTATTACACAGAATAATACAGATACATTAAGTGGCCACATTGTAGGCTGATCATTTTCATAGATTTGTGAAGCATTGTGTTATCTCTAGTGACCTTTTTTCAGCGAAGAATGAGCTGCTAATTATAAATTGGAAGGCACTAGCTGCTATAGAGGTGAGCTATTTAGTAAAACATACAAGAATATCAATACACTATTTTGAGCAACTATGGAAATTGGAACTGATTGTAAAGTGTATAGGCAAAACAAGGACATCAACACTCTCCTCCAGATTTAGACATCTCATCTCTCAGGGGTTTGGTCCAAGATGACAGCATGAACAAGTTAAAGAGCATCAGTCATCTTTC